AACTAAGCTTCATTGAATTACGTCTTCCTTCAGCACTTCCTTTTGGGTTTTTCTTTGTGTAAATGTGATAAAGTTTCTTTCTTGTATATTCATCATTTCAGATGATTAAGACTCAATTACACAGAAACTTTACTGGGTTATTTACAACTGTTTCCAGGGTTAAGCTAGCTGCCATACTGAATTAAAAAAATTAACCAATGGCCATGTTTTCCATTTTTAGAAATGATCACTTGTATTTTTTAATTGTTTGTTCTACTAACCGTATCAAGGATCAATTACAAAAGATTATCTTTCTTATAGTAACCTATTGATTAAAAATGTCACACTGTATAGTAATATTCAAAAAACTGTCCCTTGCAACTTAATATATATTATTCCCCTAATATAGAAACAAATCACAGCTATAAAATAACATATAAAATAACACATACAGTTTTATAAAATCAGGTCACAAAAAAACAGAATAGTACAAAGGTAAGCGTTTTTGAAATACTAAACAACAAACATGTTTCAGGCACGGAGAAAGTTACTTTTGACAATAAGTGCACGAGTATGCACAGTATAAATATATTTATTCCATGTAGCTGTATATTTATACTGTAATTATGCACATGTCCAAACAGACAAGTTTACTTTGCCAGTGCCCTTAGGCAATAATTGGCACCCCAGATGAGAACCTAAGAAATCGTAACAATCTAACAAAATTGTTTCTAGTTTATTTAGAGAGATTAAAAAAACAAGTAGATTTTAGTTTAAAAACACTTAACAGGGATAGTGATTGCCTTGCAGCAGCCCTATAGTAGAACCTGGGTTATGGGTGTCATGGGTAACAGAGAGGTGAGTATGTGTATTTTATTTCCTACCTCCTACACTAATACATAATGGGGCTAATAACACAGTGCAAAGAGCAAAGATGGAACCCAATCAGATATGTGCTTTTTAGCAATTTAAACTGAAGCTCAGATCAGATGGCAGCCTCTTCCACCAGCATCTGCAGTCTATTTTACTGAGCCATTGAAACAGTTTCTCCTTAGGGCTTTACACTGAACCCCAAATAATTTCAAGCTTGCAGGGAAATGGCTTCTGAATTTAGCTCCATGGAGATACTGCCATGTATGCACAATACACTGTGACTCAGTGAAGAGGGTTGGAGCCACCAGAGCTGTAGTGTGGCTGCTGGTGGAGGTGGTGGTGGATAATCTGATGTAAGGGGAAGGCAATAAATATAGAATGGGGAGGGCTAAGAGAGGCAGTTGGGGAAAATATATGTAATGGTACAATTGTATTCTCATTTTCATTATTGTTCTTAGCACCATGTTATTAAAGCTGAATTCCAGGCATAACAGCTAAATACCTAGTTACTTCTGAGAAAGGGGTAACTATGTACCCCAAAACATTGTGTCATAGGACCTCATGAGCTATCTGACTGCTATGAAATACTTTTGTATCTCTATACAGTGTATTTGTTTATATACAGTATGCTGTAACTCATTTGTACATTGGATGACATTTGGGCATATTTCTTATGCCTTTTAAGTTATAGGCATACTTTCCTGAATGTATACTTTTCTGGCTTTGATATAAAACCTGCATCACTGAAGTTTGGGTTTGCTTGCCTTCTTGTTATTATTATAATTGTTTGGGGTAAGAGGGTGGTACCCTTTTGTAAATGGCACCCCTACATACAATATACACCATTCACCCAAATGAGTAGGTCCCCTTTTGCTGCCAAAACAAATCAAAGCATGGACTCCACTAGTTAAACTACCTCTGCCAATTTGCCTTCTTTTCATAGTACATCCTGGTGCCATCTCATTCCTCGACCATCCACATGATGTAAAAGAAAAACTAGGATTATGGCTGATCAGTGTATATGTTTTTGTAATTAGTGTGCAAGGACAAACTAACCACTTCCATACAACTAAATACACACCTGTAATAAATATTGTGAAGTCTTTTCTCCTGCCATAGGATTTATCTGTATTATCTAGGCAGTTCTGAAATTTTTACAGTCCTACCAGACAGTAAAGCCACATTGGTGACCTTACATTTTTGTTCTGAATTTAGGCAATACACTTTGGTCATCTTCCTGCCTGCAGCCTGTTCTTAGACAGTAATGGAGCAGCACCGTTCTGCTGAAGGCCATCCCCTTCCCATCTTGGTGCTGCACAGGGGGATCACAAAAGACTATTACTTTCAAAATTGGATACTTACACTAACTGCAATAAAATGTTTTATTAGTTCTTAATGAATGCATAACTGCATATTTTGGTGTAAATATATGTCAGTTGTAGATATATACACTCACTGGCCACTTTATTAGGTATACCTTGCTAGTACTGGATTGGACCCCCTTTTGCCTTCAGAACTGCCTTAATTCTTCATTGCGTAGATTCAACAAGGTGTTGGAAACATTTCTCAGACATTTTGGTCCATATTGATATGATAGCATTCCTCAGAGATTTTGGTTCATATTGACATGATAGCATGCCTTTCTATCATCTTGAACCCGTCTGCCCATTCTCCTCTGATATCAACAAAGTATTTTCACCCACACAACTGCCGCTTACTGGATATTTTCTCCTTTTCAGACCATTCGCTGTAAACCCTAGAGATGGTTGTGCATGAAAATCCCAGTAGAGTCAGCAGTTTTTTAAATACTCAGACCAGCCCGTCTGGCACCAACAACCATGCCACGTTCAAAGTCACTTAAATCCCCTTTCTTTCCCATTCTGATACTCGGCTTGAACTTCAGCAAATCGTCTTCATCAAATCTAGATACCTTAATGCATTGAGTTGCTACCATGTGATTGGCTCATTAGCAATTTGTGTTACCAGGCAACTGAACAGGTGTACCTAATTTTGTGGCCGGAGAGTGTATAATCTCAGCTTTAAGCTGAACTCTGAGATAACCAAATGTTGTTTATATGAGAGAGGCATGTGTATTTTTGCTTGAATCTTGATGTGCTTTGTGTATTTCTAATAGATATGAGCAGTGTGAAATTTTGCCTTGTACTGGGGCTTCCTATAATATAGACTGGTCACTGCTGCTCTCTCTCCTTGTGCAGGGTGACTGGTCTTGTCTCCACCCTCTCCTCTAGTTTTCTTCAGGCAGCCTATAGTAGGTGATGCCTTCTGGACTCCACCCACAGCTCTGCTCTATGCACAGGCTAGGTGCAGAACAGTGATCATGTAACTAATCACTAGGCTTGAAAATGCATTGCTACACACAAAGTGAAATTGAATTTTTTGTGGCTATTGAGGAATAATATATATATATATATATATATATATATATATATATATATATATATATATATATTTGTGCCTGGAGTTCAACTTTAAATAAAGCCATGCTTGTGAAGTACAGACTGTTATACTTGTGTCTGTGCTTCATAAATGTTTTGTTCTTTTTGCATTGTGAAGTGTTTTATGATTTTAAATATGTCCATGTAACAACCCTGAATGAAATCATGGCAAATGTGCATATAGTCATGTATACTTGTCTTATATACATGTCACGTATAAACAGCTACGTATATTGACATTTATAGTTTTTCTTGAAAACCTTACTTATTGAATGTACAGTGTGAAGTTTTTTTCTGTAGCCACATATGTACAGGCCCATGATCAGTTGTGTATAAGTAATAATAAATTCAAATGTTAATAAAGACTTATCAAACAGAACCTGTTAATAAATGTACCATATTTGATGTGTAACATGTCAGGTAATGATAACAGCCTGGATATAAAATATAGGCCCAGTTCTCTATCACATACAGCATAAACCATCAGTTACATGATGATCAAATAGGTATATTAATAATAAAGGGGACACACTAAACAGTATATAAATATTGTGCTCTCATCTCATCATGAAGGATTGACTTTGTGTCCAGCTGGTTGTGACTCTGTGAAATGAAGGGAGGGATGGTGATGGAGTCCCCAGAGGCACACAATGGAGCTTTTACAGGTATTACAGCTCAGAGAAGACACAGAGCAGATACAATCTCAGCACAAAGTTTCCCCCATAATCCTCTTGTTTTAATGTAATTAGATCTCCCAGGGATTTGAATAGATCTTGTTTCTTTGTTGGCAATAGTGATTCGGGAAACCTATAGTTATCAGAGGATTAGCATCTGATCATACACTGTACTATGCAGTCCTGATTTAATATAAACAAATTAACAGGGATATGGGTGTGATTTAATACATCATTTTCAACTACAGGATTAGAGGTCTATGATTCCAAAGCGTTGCTCCGTTGATCAAATAGAAATGGTGCATAACATTTGAAAAACTTTTATGTTTGGGTGTTTTTCAGACTAATTTGATTGTTTCACAGTATGTGTATGAATACCTAATGCTCAGAACATTGATATTAATTACTCTGTACATGAACAAATGCAACACGAAGTTTGCGTGTCCTGCATATACAATATAATTGTTTGCATGCAGGCCTACATGTATTGTGTGCATTTTCTTTGCAGAAACACTTTCCTATATACATTTACGGGTTTCAATATATACGAAATATGCACTCACAGTTACAGTTACGTATTGTCATAGACTAGCCTACAGTACACATTTTTGTATTTTGTGGTCTACACATACACTTTGTTAGAGAAACACTTTGAAGCACACTGACCTGCATTATACATGGCATGCAAACAAATGTGCAGTGTTATGGCACCATCAAAATATTTTCTGTTGACCAGGTACTTATTTTGCTGTTCTTTTCCTTATGCGCATCTGTGGTCAAATTGACTAGTCGCTGTAGAACTCTTGTTTATCCATAGGGAGTTTTATATATATATGCATTTCATCCCCTTGTTTTAGTGTAAGTTCTTAATCTTGAACAGATTCCCAGAGAACTGGGATATTTGTTCAGGTTAAGTTCTTATTCTTGAGGCTGTGGTGTTCATGGGTTTTGGACTCTTTCATGATTAAATGAAAGGGCTTAAGTGAGAAATGATTTGATAATACCTCTAGCTTTCAAGTCAGCGTGCAGGTTGCTTGTAGTTACCATTAATCTCCTCAGAGATGGTGACTGCTTCAGCACCCAATGGAAGCTTATCACTGTACTCTGATCCAACTTCAAACTCTTCCTGGTTTGTTTTAGATTGGGAGTTTGGAAGGTTCTCTTCTAACACACTTCCCTCAGCCTCTCTCTCAACTGCTGCTGCTTCTTCTTCTTCTGCTGGGACTGCCTCTGCTTCACCTTCATCTCCACCAGCTTCGCTAGGGACAGAGTTCTTTTCTGACTCTACAAAAGAAGCTCTAGGATCAAAATCAGCAGCCATGTGCTTCTCTTCGGGATCTGGTTTGTGCGTCTTCATTATTAATTTGTAATTTTTGCCATGGTATTTTGTAATTAAATGACAGCAAGAGGCTCCCAATAGAGGAATAGTGGCCAACCCAAGAAGGAAAATGCTTACCACAATAATAATGATCAAAGATGGCACTTCCTTCTTAGTGGTGAAAACTACTTGCACATGACAGTCTTCTCCTTTATATGTTAAGCATACAGAGTAGTTAGTGCCAGGAGTTAGGCCTTGAAACCAGTAGGAGTTTACTCGATATTCAATTTCTGACCACTGAACCACAGAAAACCCTTTGGGACTTTCTTGGCATAGGTACAGCATCTTGAGCGGTTGTATTCCTGGACGTGTACTATAAGGAGTAATCTGAACTTTAGCTTCTTTTTCAGAAACATCTAGAGCAATAACTCCCAGTTCAAAGAGGTGAGGTTTTAAATTAGCACTGTCATTGAATGCATGGTTGGAAACATGCAACCCTCCCACCTTTGGTCCACATTTCTTCTCATCTGAATGTGGATGCTCCATATCCTCAAGACTATTCTCATTTGTTTGCTCAGTGGGAATAACAGCCTTTATTTTTTCTTCAGTTTTATCTGGATTGATAACATTGTTCCCTGAAACTTTAGACACTATTTTCTTTCCATCCACTGGTATTTTTCCTGATGCTGGATCCTCAACCTTGGTTAGATATTTTTGACTGCCTGCCACCGAGACATTTACAGAACTCTGGCTACTTCCCATCTCATTAGTGGCCAAACAAGTATAGGCCCCCTCTAATTTTTTGCTAAGGTGAGGGATAACTAGAGTTCCATTCTGATAAACCACAAAGTGTCCAGATACTTCAGCTTTGGATGTGTCAGTGGGCAATTTGATCTCAGTTTCTTTAGTTGCATTATGAACTTTCCATTGTATGGTTGGTTTGGGGCTACCAGTGACTAAGCAGTGAAGTGTTAGAGTGAATCCATCATATAATTCTGTGCTGTCAAGGTTAGGGTGGTAGCTTAGCTGCACAGCAGGAGCTCCACATGGTAAATCTGGAATTTTAGAAAGTGGCTTTCCTTGAAGATCTTCTGGTGAAGCACACACGATTAAGTCCTTCTCTGCCACAGTAACTTGTGCTTCTCCAGTCCACGTTTTAAGCCACATAAGTGAACAAGTGCAATGGAAGGGGTTATTGTAAATCTGGATATGATGTAAGGAAACCAAAGGTTTAAAGGTTCCCTCATGAATAACAGAAAAATGATTGTTATTGATCCTCAGAGACCTCAGGTCTTTTAAGTTGTCAAAAGCATTCACTGGCAAGTTGACCATGCGATTGTTGTTCATTTTCAATAGCTGTAGAGAAAGCAGACTGGCCAGATCTTCCCAGGGAAAATCCACAAGTTGGTTGTGACTAATATCCAGATTTTTAAGATACAGCAGAGTGGCTAAAGAGCCCTTTTCTACAGTACTAATGTCATTGTGAGCTAACCACAATGATGTCACCTGAGGCACCCCAATAAAGTTAGACTTCTTTAAAGAACTTATTTTGTTTGCTGAAATACTAAGAGTTGTAACATTAGAAGGAAAACCTGTTGGGACCTTTTGCAGCTTCTTGTAGGTACAGTCAGCAAACTGTTGATTGTATTTATCCACACAAGAGCAAGGTTCAGGGCAGCTGTAGGTTGACCCAAGGAGTGTCACAGCAGCATACAGGAATAGTAGAATATCCATTATTCCACCTAGAAAGAAAGATAAAAAATATTGTAAAATAAACTATGGAATGACATGTCTGTTTATATTTGTTAGGTAAACGTTAAATTGTGTATACGCACACTAATAAAAGTTTAAAATGCCTCCCATATGGCCAACAGTTATAAATAAGGTAGTGCCCTCCTTCAGTTAGGCTGCTAGGCTAAATTTAGTTTTTGACTTCATTGCAGACAGTGGAGCAGCAATTGAATGAGTTTGTCTAGTCAAAGTTTTCAGGCTGGGTGTTTGATTTCTCTCATTTGCTTCTGGAAGAAGCTTCCAGAATATTGGGCAGGGACAGTCAAATAACCAACATACATATTTATCATGCTCCAGCCAATCCCTGGAAGCCACTGCCATTCACACTATGTCTTGAATTGTTTTATATGAATTCAAGACATTCTCTGATTGGAAGAGGTGTAAAGGAGCAGTGATGAAGTGAGGATGGTATCTATAGTACATATTGTGCGGCAAACATGGTTTTGTGGCAGCAATGCAGAGCAATTTAGAATGGGAGGGTAGAGAGAACTTTGTAGGCAGAGACAGTAGTCCACTCTGTACTGCACATTCATGTTTAATGAAAAACTTAAATGCGAACAGAACAATAGGACTACAGGTAATATAATGTCTTTATTATAAGTCTTTTATTTATTTTAACTGAATTTTATTAGAAATGTCTGTAATAAACATGAAAGAGGTGCAAGAAAGTTAACGGTGGTGTTTTATAATACAAAACAAAAATTACTGTAAAAATTGAAAAAAATGAATTTCACATTAGGATAGGAAGAGGAACCAGTTCTGATTTATCAACCATGTAAAAACCACATATAAAATATAAGCACACTGCCAATGCTCAAGTGCTAAGGGCTATGAGTCAACCACTTGAGTGAAAACCTCTTCTTATACACTAATCCAGTTCTACTGATGTCATGGAGTCTTTCACAGCCTTCATCAGATCAGGGAAATCATCAACTAAAAATAATAAAAAGAGAGAGTACATTGGCCTCATGCAAAACCAGATGCAAAAACACCACTTTATTATTTAAAATCCCAAAAAAATTTAAACATATTAGAATCACAGTCATGTAACCATCCTGCATGTCTCATCAACAGGACTTCTTTAGATCTGGACATGGGCCCACTGAATCAGGATTATTGAAAGACAAGCATGAGTATTAGTAAGTTAGCTCGCACAAGAGGTCCTGCCCTTCGAAATGTGTCAGTTGATTTGTACCGACTGAACCATGCAGTAGGGGTTCTCTTATAAGTCACTTAAATGATCGAGATGTGAAAAAGGTCCTGTCCATGAGAAATAATGACTAATAACATGGCAGTGATTCTGATATCTTTGTGAGTATTTTATCAGATTTTAAATAAAGTGCAACGCAAGACAGAAGCTCACACTTTTTTTTATGATTTTAATCCACTGATGTAAAAACCACACATTAATGGCTTTTAAACTATAGAGAATTATTTTGATGGAAGCCTAGAGCTTTAGTCAGCCTAGCTGTGTGTCTGTTTTTCTAAGCATGGAGCGTACCATCTCAGTCACTTGTGTGAGCTGGCAACAGCAGGTTGTGCTACAGATATAATTTTGTATTAAGAAAGTTTAGCCAATCAGCAGGCATTGGGGCCTGTGAGTGCATGCTGGGAGAGATATTAAATATATGAGGCACTTCCTGGCACATGGTCATTCTTCGTGGGATTTTGCCATTTGAGCATGCAAGGGTAATATATGCTTTGTTCCCAGGCCTTTGAACCAAAGGGTCTGAAATGCTGCAAGGATCTCCCTTCCTGGGAGGAATGGTGGAATATATTGGTTGCCATGGAGTTCTACTTTGGACCTAGAGGATGCAGACTGCAGTTGTCTCGCCACAATGGAGATGGTGAGTGACTGACTGAGTAGGAAAGTAACAACAGAATATTTCCAAACTGTCTTTCCTTAAATACTAAGACTGACATACCACTAGAACCTAAAATGTCAAGGAACCTTTTTGAAGCTTAAATGCTCAGCCTGTATAGCCCTGTGAGAAGGGGACCCAGATAGTCAAAATATCATGCAGAAGATCAATAAACTGTATTTTGAGTAAAAACATATAGATATCCTGTTCCTCCTCCACTTCCTCCTTCCTTTTCTCCATATACCCATTAATCAAAACAACCCTTCAGACCTTCCACACCCTGTACAAAAACGTTTGACCTCCCCCTAACGCCCATGAGGCTCAACCTGGTGATAAAGACCATAAAGTTTCCTTGATTGTGGCTCACTATTGGGTAAGAAAGCCTCCAAAACTTGGTTAAGGGGCCATATAAAGACAAAAGGATTACCTTAACTGACCAAATGCTATAGGAATGTCATTGATAACTGACCATATGGCCAAACCCACTAATTTTCTTGGAATGTATGCTATCTTCATTAAAAGGGAACGTTGTTTATTATTGGTCAAATGCTACCAATTAGTCCTACATATACTACAGTCAAAACTTGTAATAGTAAGTCTCGTACTAGGGCAAGCATGCACCTAGCTTAATCATCATGCCCGCTGCAAAGATGGCGGACTCAGTGACAAAAAAGCATCTACAGCTAAGTATTCTTGTTACATTTTCCAATAATATTAAAAGTTATACCTACAAGTGTTTGTGTGATCTCTATTTGCACATCTTGAAAACCCCCCAAAGCATAAACTATCACGTAACCGGAATTCCTACCAGGATTGTCTGTTACCTTCTTGAGCACCTGGAGGGCAAAGCCATTACTCCCTGAGCAAACCTTTTTTATACAGGGCACCTTTCTTACTTTACAAGACCTTAGCCAAGTAGGCAGCCTCCCTCAATGGTCCTACTTACAGATAAGACGCTTCCCTGATTCCCCAAATAGCTGATTGCACTATACTAAGCATTTTACAAATTTTGAGATGCTGTGCAATTCCAACACTCCCCTTAGACATGTCACACCCAAGAAGTCTATTTCGGAACTACACACTCAAAGGAGACTTCCAGATATGGTGGGGGGAAGGGGGAGAGGCTGGAGGAGGGAAAAAAAGCAGAACTTTCCTTTTAGGTGAATTTCCACTTTAATTTTCTGTTGTAGTTTACAAAAATAGACACAATCCTATTGTTTTTATAGTGATGTTTATTATGTAATTGCTACAAAATATTGGTCAGTTTTAGGTACAATAACTTTTCACCTAAAACCTAAATGTAATATTGGTTTATATTGTTATAAATGCACAGCTTGATATGTCTTTATGTGTTTATTCTAGCAAAATTCAGGTGTCACAATCACTGCTGAAACGTATAAACTGAAACAACTGTGGTTACACAAATATGCTGTGACTACCTCCTCCCATGATTAGTATGACCGTTAAACACAGTTGTGTGTTTTAGTGATATGAGGCACACCTTTCTTGTATCAATCCTCACCATTCACTATGAATCCTAATTTGATTTACGAATACATCCTTATAATTTTGGCTGTTCAATAATGTCTAACAGTGCTGCAGGATAACCTTTTATAGAGATGGCCGAACTCCTTCAGATCTACTCTGCTGATAAATCACCCAATCCACTTCCTTGATCTTTTTAGTTCATGAAAAGAGCACTGCAGATCCAAAATGTTCCCAACAAGGGAATTTAAACTTTTAATGATTTCTTTTTTGTGGACCATCAGAGCAAAATATTATTTCTTAGGAATCCAGCAATCCAAGTAATTCAGGGAGGCCAATGAGGATATTGAATTGTTATTTTTTAACAGGTGTCACAGATGCAAAGCAAAGGTTTCAATCAGGCAGAGGTTTCAACAAAAAGAAAATGGATAATAATATTTGTTGTCATAGGGTATAGCATTATCATTGCAAAGAATCTATATTTTCAGGTAATCTACACTCACCAACCTCTTTATTAGGTACACCTGTTCAATTGCTTGGTAATACAAATTGCTAATCAGTCAATCATATGATAGCAACTCAATGCATTTAGGCATCTAAATGTTGTGAAGACGACTTGCTGAAGATCAAACTGAGCATCAGAATGGGAAAGAAAGGGGATTTAAGTGACTTTGAATGTGGCATGGTTGTTGGTGCCAGACGGGATAGTCTGAGTATTTAAAAAACTGCTGATCTACTGGGATTTTCATGCACAACCATCTCTAGGGTTTACAGAGAATTCTCCTAAAAAGAGAACATATTCAGTGAGTGGCAGTTGTGTGGAAAAAAATGCCTTGTTGATGTCAGAGGTCAGAGGAGAATGGGCAGACTGGTTTGAGATGATAGAAAGGCAACAGTAACTCAAATAACCACTTACAACCTAATTATGCAGAATACCATTTCTGAATTCACAACATGTGGAACCTTAGAGCAGATGGGCTACAGCAGCAGAAGACCAAACCAGATGCCACTCACATCAGCTAAAAACAGGAAACGGAGGCTACAGTTCACGCAATCTCACTAAAATTGGACAATACAAGATTGGAAAAACATTGCCTGGTCTAATGACTCTCGATTTCAGCTGCGATATTCAGATGGTAGGGTCAGGATTTGGTGTAAACAACATGAAAGCATGGATCCATCCTGCTTTGTATTAATGGTTCAGGCTGCTGGGTGGTGGTGTAATGGTGTGGGGGATATTTTCTTGGCACACTATGGGCCTCTTAGTACCAAGTGAGCATTGTTTAAACACCACGGCCTACCTGAGTATTGTTACTGACCATGTCCATGCCTTTATGACTACAGTGTACCCATCTTCTGATGGCTATTACCAGCAGGATAATGTACCATGTCACAAAGCTCAAATCATCTCAAACTGGTTTCTTTAACATGACAATGAGTGCACTGTAATCCAATGGCCTCCGCAGTCATCAGATCTCAATCCAACAGAGCACCGTTGGGATGTGGTGGAATAGGAGATTTGCATCATGGATATGCAGCCAAGAAATCTTCAGCAACTGCATGATATTATCATGTCAATATGGACCAAAATCTCTG